TACCCTATTACCAAGCAATTCCACTCTTAGGTATGTATCCAAGTGAAATGAAAACATATTTCCAAACAAAAATTTGTACGTAAATGTTCAGGGCATCATTATTCATAATAATCGAAAAGTGAAAACAACTCAAATGTCCATCAACCGATGAATGAACAAACAAATTAAAATGATGTGGTATATCCATGCGATAGAATATTATTTAGTTGTGAGAAGAAATGATATACGTTACAACATAAAGGAACCTTGAACACATTACGCTAAGCAAAAGCAGCCAGATGCAAAAGGTCACGTATTGTACCATTCCATTTACATGACATATCCAGAATAAGCAAATAAATCCACAGAAGCAGAGAGCAGATTCACGACTGCCAGGGGCTGATGTGAGGGGAGAGTGGAGAGTGGCTGCTTAATGGGTGCGGGATTTTATTTTGGGGTGACGAACATGTTTTGGAACTAGAGGGAGAGGTGGTGGTTGCACAAACTTGTGAATGTACTAAATACCACCGGATGATACACTTGAAACATGATTAAAATGGTAAACTTCATGTTATGGGAATTTATTTTTCAATAAAGAAAAGAAAAAAAAAGCAGTGATAGAGGTAGATTTTAAGAAATCAGGCAAAATTTGGATGTGAGTGGATTGGCCAACTTAGAAACTAAGCATCCTGAGGTAGACCAGTAGGCCATAAATGTGGCCCCGTGGTCTTTCACCCTCTTCTAGGGTAGGGAGTAAAAGACTGAGAGCTTGATCAGGAGAGTACATATGATCAGATCCCCATGAGTAAGGGCAAAAAAGCTGGTTTTCCTCTGTCAGTTGAAGGTCCACTGATTCGAAAGTATGCTCTCAATCTGGGAGCTGATGCTTTGCTTACGTTCAAAGGCTGATGGAGACGGTGATTGCTGAGATCAGTTTTCTTAAATGGTGGGGTCATTTAATTTGAATATAAACAGAAGGATGACCCCTCAAGACTGAAGGTTTAGGAATGTGCCGGAAATTGACAGTCAAGTTATATTTATGTAGCCACACACCAGGGAGGGGAGGCTGAGTGTGCTAGGCCTTTAGGGGGACAGGTCATGACCCCATGCCCTCAGTCAGATAGGCCTAGCCAGGAAGGATGATAGCAAGAGAAGTTGAAGATAGAGAGACTCTTCATCTGGAAATTCAGCTTGTGTCATTTATTTTTATTTTCTGCTTTAACATCTTTCTCCCAGGCTGGGCCCTAAATGCCACAAGAGCAGGGACCATGTCTATTGGATCCACCACTGTATACTCAGCAGTGGCTGGCACAGAGTAGGTGGGTTCTCAATATGTGTCAATATGTTCTCAGTACGTTCTCAATATGTGGACTGACAGCTGAGGCCACAAGTAAAGCCCCTTGGTAAGGGGCGAATGCTGACAGCAGGACTGCCAAATGAGGGGCAAGGGTGGGGTAAGGCGAATTTGTGAGCGAATCTTGACAACATATGGGTACCAAGAATGGGCTCGCTTCACTCCATGCTGAGAGGGAGGTCACGAGGGGTCTCTTGAAAGTGGTGACACCTGAGCTGCATCTCAATAGAGGACCAAGGGTTTGTGGGTCAGAGGCTGGGAAGGCAGTTCCTGCAGAGGAAGCAACATGTGGCAGGGCCATAAGGGGGCTGTGGGGCAACTGCAGGGCGTCAGCCTGGCTGCAGCTGGCCTTGTGGGAATTCTGCCCTATCCGCCGTGGGAAGCACCTGGAGGCAGGGGCGACATAGAAGCATGTCTCGGAGGTGTTGCAGGTTTGGTTCCGAACCACGCAATAAAAGGAGTCACATGAATTTTTTGTTTTCCCAGTGCATATAAAAATTATGCTTACATTATACTCTAGTCTATTTAAAGTGTGCAACAGCATTATCTCTGAAAAAATAATGTACATACCTTAATGAAAAACTACTTCATTGCTAAGAAAGGCCAACCGTCATCCGAGCCTTCAGTGAGTTGTCTTTTTGCTGGAGGAGAGTCTTGCCTCAATGTCGATCAAAATGCTGCATCTGCGAAGCGCCATAAAGCAAGGTCTGCCTGCTGTCAGATCCGGCTTATGGTAGAACTCCCTCAGGCTGCTATCTGGAGGATGGATTTGAGAGAGAAATAGGAGGAGGAGGCTGCTGAAATAATCTCGGAGAACAAAGGGAAGGAAGTAGAGGACCGCCTCGTTGCACTGACATTGATGGTGAGCAGGGAAAATAAGGAAAGGATTTGAGGGTGTCTTCTTCGTAGGTAATTTGTTGGGGTTTGGTGACCAACTGCTGCTGTTGGGAGTGAGATAAAAGAATTCTAGGATGTAATGATGCTGATGAAGACGATGCTCACAGCTAACACCTGCCAAGGCTCTGTGCTCAAGGCTTCATATGCACCATGCCATTTGATCCTCATGACGACCCACCGAAGTAGACTATTTTATCATTATATGGATGAGGCTACAGAGACCCAGAGAAGCTGTTACCTGGCCAAAGTCACTTGGTTAGTAGGTGGAGTAGCCAAGGAGTGAGATTTGCAGAGCCGAGCTCTTAACCAGACCCTGTAATGCCCCAGGTTTTCAGTCTGGATTGGCCAGGTGATGGCACCACACTCCCTCAATTCAAGGAAACAGAAGGAGGAAAATGTTTGATTGGTGGGGAAGTGACAAACTGAGCTGAGGACAAGTTGAGCTGGAGATGCTGTGGATTAGTCCACGATGTCCAATGGTCAATGAGACAACCTAGAGAGAGCATTAGAGTGAGGAGGGAAAAAAGCCCAGGACGGACCAGGGCATGCCATGTGTCACTCGGAGAGGGCCATCTGGGAGTTACCAGGAACCTTGATGAGAATGGGGTCCTTGTTAGGTAAAGGAAAAAACAAGAGCGCAGTGATTATGGGACATCAGGCGAAGTGTAGTATTCTGAGGACCTCAGCTGTATGAGAAGGAAGGGTTGCTAGAAGGGATCAGGGGTCCAGAAAGCTACTTTTTCCTTTCTTTTCATCATTCAGATGAGAGACATTTGCAAATGTTACAGGCTAGAGAGATGGAACCGGTAGGAAGGATGAGTTTGATAATGAATGGGAGAGGGCCAAAGCGGTGAAATGACTTCCTGTCGGCAGCTGGAGGGGTGAGGCAAGAGCATCCACTTTCGAAAAGTATAGAAATACTTTTGAGTCCAGTGAAAATATAGGTTTTGAATCCACGTTAAACAGGACTCAGGGGCTTTAGAAAGGTAAGGTTTGGCCAAGGGCTCCCACTACTGTGCTCTAAATCCACTGTCACATTTGCACAGAGGCCACACTTGATACGATCCCCGGGGAACCCATCCTGAGAGATGCAGGGCTGCTCTGATGGCTGCCCTGGACTCAAGGACTCCCCAGTGGCCTTGCTGAACCTCCTTAGACTACACGGCAGTCCCGATACTTTCATTTAACCCTACCCTCCTCCTCTCACCTTCACTTGGCATCAGACCTGCATTGTGTCTCCCGGCTCCCCTGGCCTCTCCCCGCTCCCCTCCTATTTCCTCTCAAAAAAGAGTCTCTTAATAAAACATTTGCACATTTAGTCCCGCTGGCATCTGCTCCTTGGAGGACTCAGACTATACGGCCATCCACAAGCACAATTGGATGAAATCAGAAAGGTTGAGCTAGGGAAATTTAGATTCCTCAATGAGAGGTACGGAGCGTACGGAGGCCATGACAGGTCTGAGTGTGATAGAAAAATGGGTGGTGGGGGTACAGGGAGATCCTGGTCACCCTCTCATATGGGTCTGCAGCTCACTGTGTCTGTCTACCTAGATAGAGTGTCAGGAGATCCAAGCAGATGTGAGCACATGAGGATGGGCGTCGGTATGGACAAACAGATGGGGGGCGGGGCATGCACTGGGAGAAGCTGAAGGGGTTCTCACCCAATTCTGAGAGCAGAAAGTGAGGTCGGTTACTGCAAATATGAGTCGGTGTGGTGGGGTCATGCAGAGAGGTGGGGAAGAGCTCTAACGGGGAAAAGGAGAGAGAGCTGAGCAAGGCTGTCATGGAAGACTCGTGGGAAAAGAGGATGGGGAAGGAGCAGGGATAGGAAGGTGTTTTAGTTTTAGAGCCTTGTAGGCCTTGGAAGGGTCTCTGGATCTTACACTAACTATTCAATGAAGCCACTGGAGGGTCTGAGCTGGGCACTGCATGATCTGATTTACACCCGGGAAAGACCATTTTGGATACTGTAGGAGGTACAAAGGAATGGATGCAACAGACCAGGCAGGAGGCAACGACAGTCATCCAGGCAAGAGGTGAAGTGGCCAAGGGGGCAGGCATAGTACAGGTGCTGGCAGATGAGAAAGTTCTCCCGGTGACTTCTTTTCTCCCAGTGAAATGTGAAGCGGGCCCATGGCATCCTCTGAGAGGGGACCTGGGTAGGGAGATGGAGTCATGCTTTTATCTCTATGTTGGAAGGGTAGAAAAAAGAGGTGAAGAAATTAGAAAAGAAGGAAAAAAATGTTATAAAAAGTTCCTTTCAAAAAAACTGCATGTTTAAGAATGAAAGAAGAGGCTTAAATCTTTCATTGCACGCTGTTTTGAGCATTGGCTATAAAAGACTTACCTTTCATAGGACAGTATATTTTAAAAATCACTATCTTTGTAATAAGTCAATACTTGGCCCCTCCTCCCAGGGAAGTAACCACCTCATTTCTTTCTTTCTTTTTTTGTTTTTACACCTACAGCCCCTGGTCTTCCTAGGTGGTCTCCCATCCAAGTACTAACCGGGGCCGACCCTGCTTAGCTTCCGAGATCAGACGAGATCAGGCATATTCAGGGTGACATGACCATAGATCACCTCATTTCTCAGACCCCATGAATTGCTACTGATGCCACCTACTTCCTCCCTTGGGTTCAGCTCTGTAAGATTCATTGTGTGTGTATGTGTGTGCGCGTGTGCATGCACGCGCAAGGCCACAAGCACTTATACAATAGGCAGTCCACATGACAAAACTAGTTTTACAAAATATTTGCCTTTTTAAACAAAAAGTATGCCATATATTTTTATTAAATCATAGAAAACTCATTTGTATACAAATTTTTTCCAGTTTGGGGAAACTGGAATATTGAACAGCTGGGTAACAAAAACAGATGAAAGATACATCTCATTTTCAGCAGAGACAAATTTTAAGTTGTCACATTTATTTTTCTTAAATGCTGAAATAATCAGTAACAGGTTGCTGGCTTCTTTCACCTTTAGGCCAGAAGAACACTATCTCCTATAACCCCCCATTCTCTTTAAGGATGGTTTTCATTACTTACATCAACCATAACTTTAAAAGATGGTTAACTTGGAAGTCTTTTTCCCCACCACAGCCTTCTAGGGTAGTTTAAATGCCGAATTTTAGGAGCTGGCCTCGTCCCACGGGACTGATTAAGCTTCCTTTCTACAACAGCAAACATGTATAACGGTGTGGAATATATTTCAGAATAAGTTAACATTAAGACACACAGTATGGTAATAACGACCTACTTTTCTTTCTACCATGTAACTTCGGAAGTTCACCCTAATCTTACACGTTTATAAAGGGTGAAGACTGAGGGAATCCAGTGATACGGAAAATGCACGACCGTCAGAGCCACATTCTCTAAATGCTTTGGCCGAGAATATGCAAGCGGTCCTGCTAGAGTCACGCCCGTGTCATTCCACAGGGGATCGCATCGAAGACTCTGAGCTTTGCCGAATGAAAACGGGCAGTGGTTTTAAAGTTTGGGTCGTCACTCATTCTGCTTTCCAATGAGATCGAGAGGTCACACTGTGACATGTCTGCACTCACTCCAAGTCCTCACATAACATAAACACAAATTAAATATTATCAAAATTATTTTAAATTAAATTGAAGACCACTATTTTTAAGTGCACGAACTATCTCCCCCCAGCTTCCTGAATGTGTTACAGAGCAAGAACTAACATCCTTGGTAACAGCCATGTTCTTATTAGAGGCCAACCCGCTTCCTCTGAGAACTTCCTGGAGTAACACATGAGACCTTCGGGGGGAAAAAAAAAGCAATTTTCCACTCCAAGTGGAGAGAATGTCTCAAAAAGTCATGTTCCCAATCTGAAGTCTGGATTTCAGACTCATTAAAGCAGAAACTGAAAAATGTGATCTTTGAGACTGGCTTCTCACCAGTGGTGACAGCCTGCTTCCCCAGGACACTCAATGGACCCTTAATCCTGTGAGCCTCTCTCCAAGCCGCCCCCAGTTCCTGGGCCCCTGCTGTCAATCTGCAGACCTGGAGCTCTCCCAGAGAATGTGTAAACAAATCTGGGAAAACTGCACTTCTGCAAGTTTTCGTTACGTCCGTGAAAAACCTCTTGGGCTAAGAAAAACAATAGGAAAGACTGTCCCAGTCTCAACTTCCCACAAGGCTTGTCTTTTGCTCATCCTGCTGCAGAATACTAGAAAGTCAACTCAAATACCTTTTGCCTGGCTTGTCCCAAATGGCATTAGACAAAGTAGAAACGTTTCCTTGGACTACCTTATTCCTGAATTGTGACAAACACTTATCCAATCTTGTTACTGGAGGTGACTTGGAGAAGAAGCCAGGCTTCTGTGCAGGTTGGGATTCTGGCTGTGTCTGTTTCGGCTGCGAACGGATGAGAACATGGTGTTGCAGCCCGGAACTTTGCATTTATGCAGCTGGCGGAGGTGCACAGTTTTGTAGTGGGCCCTGAAGGTCCCTTTATTGCTGTATGTCTTTTGGCAGAGGTGGCATGTTATGGGCAGCCCAGAAGGCAGGCTGGCGAGGCTCTGGTCAGCCTTCTCCATCAGCACACAGATGGGGTACTCATCCTCCCCAGGTACGAGGCTCGGACCTTCACAGTTCCCATCGCTGTCCTCCATGAGCATAGTGCCTTCCTCGCTTGCCCTGTCTGAGTCCCAAGAGGAATGGCTGCTGATCTCTGACTTGATGCTCGAGGTAGTGCTCAGGTCCAGGATGGTGCCTTCACTTGGCGGACCAGGGTTGTAGCTCTCGCGGCCGGCACCGTGGACTTGGGTTATTGGGTAAACCAGGCTGCCCATCCGACTGGCTCCCTTGAAGATGACGGATGTGTGGGAGGCTTGCTGCGTGAAAGCCACATCCTGATAGGCCTCCTTAGCCACATCTTTCAGAAGGTAAGCTGCATGGAAGTGGTCTTCGCTGCTGTCCAATGCTTCTTGGGTCAATACCTTCTGGTGGAGGTTTATGTTGGAACTGTGTCTGCAAGAGTGAAAAGATGTTTAGCAATGCGTTGGGCTGTCATTTTAAAATAGTCGTCATTCTGAGAGGAGACAGAAGGTAGATACCAGGAAAAATTCGTGGCATGGGAGAAGTGATCAGGGGCACGGGCCACAAAGGGTGTTTAGTGGACGCTGGCCCGCTGCTGTTCACTGCTTGTCAGAAGTTAGTATCCACCAGGAAAGTCAACGGTCTGGAAACTGGGAATATGCAGTTCTCTTCCACGTCTACCATCTGATTGACACGTAGCTTCACAGACCTCATCTCAAGAGAATGGCCAGACTACTTCAACAAGGCCAGTTCAGCTGGGACATCAAACCAGGGGATCCCAGGAAAAAACAGGTCACAAACGATAAGGAACTAAACAGAGGGCTGTATTTCAATGAAACCGGAAAGTTTTATTTTCTAGAGCCACACTGTCCAATACCATAGCCACGCACTCAGATGTGGCAGTTGAGCGCCTGAAATGTGGCTGTGTTATATGCTGAAGTGATAATATTTTGGATAGACTGAATGAAATATGTTAAATAAAAGTCACTTCACCTGTTCTTTTACTTTTCTTAATATGGCTACTAGAAAATTTGAAATTTCCTATGTGACTCGCAGTAGGGTCTAGAGCATCTGCACGCATATCACCCCAGAAGTTCTACAGGCATGGAAATCTGATTGGCTAGAAATAGGTGTGTATGTGGGGCGGGGGAGGGATGTGTGCAGCACGTATTAACTTCAGTTCATATTTGCAACGTTTCAATGTGTACCAGACAGGAGTTTTGCAAATGCAGCACTGTGCGCACACCACAAATCTTCTACCCAGTGATTACTCCTGAAGGGCAGATGATGAGTATCCATTATGACACATGCCTTTGACTCATACAATATCATTTGGATGTAACTTGTCAATCAACGCTGGCCTTGTGCAGAGGTCCCCTATTAACCTGACTAATAAATACAGTCCTTCCCAACGGCTACGATCTTAAAGGGGACAAGAGAATGACTCCAAACAGGGAAAATAGTCCCCCAGTACAGCTCGGAATGCATGCCAGGGTCAAACTGGGAAGAACACCCCACCAAAATAACTAAGGATCAAATTTTCTCTTCTAAATCCCCAGACATATGAGGAAGGGAGAGAAGGTTTAATCCTATTTCACAAACGTATAAAATTTAATCCTATTTCACAAAACGTATAACATTTACTATTCAACTTCTCTCTTCTGTCCCCTTACATATTCTTTTTCTGGGCATAATCAGAATGATACTCCCAGATCACCCACTTTGCAAGCAGCTCTTAAGTGCAACTCTGACCTATGATTATGTCAGCGTTCTGGGTTGAAGGGGCAGGAATGTGTCAGCAGAAACCCAGACACTAGGTTGACATACAGGTTCCATACACACCAAGCGGTTAAGAAAAAGCCAAACACATTCGCTGGAGCCTTGTACAGAAAGGTCCCTCCCGTAACAAAAGCAAAGCTCTTGGCACCACGCTCAGGCGTCCCATGGACACCAAGAGCTAACTCGTGGGCTCCTCCAACCTTCTTCTTAAGTCTCAGAGGGTCAGATGCATTTCCCAAGGTGCCATGCTCCCCCAAACCAGTGACAGCCACAGCTGCAAAAACCCTCCGCACCTCATGCCAGGCTTTCTGCTTCTAGAAATTCGCTGGTGCTATGCTCACTACCCAGGTCTGTATTTCTTCCCTGCATCCTCTACCTCCCCCTCCAACTTGTCACCCCTGGTTCCTAAGATTAGTTGAGACTGGAGTGTGGTCTGGGCACCCCTAGTGGTCTCTGAGACCCTTTTAAGGGGTCCCTAAACTTAAAACTCATTTCATAAGGATAAATAAAAAAAACATTATTTGTTTTTACTCTCATTCTCTCATACAGTGGAATTTTCCAGAGGCTACGTGACATGTGTCATTGCAACAGGTTGAATGCAGGAACTGATATAAGAATCTAGCTGTCTTCTACTAAGCCGAAAGAGATTTGTGAAAATGTAAAACAAAGCCACTCTTTTGGCTAAGTTTTATTTTTGAAACATGTAGTTATTTTTTAATAAAATGTCATTTATGCTAACATATAATAGGTTTGTTATTTTAAGGGATGTAAAAAGTAGTATTTTTTTGTTTTAATTTCTAATACAATAAATATTGATAGCTAGATGTCTGAATAGAGAAAAACTCTCGAGGGTCCTCAGATTTTAAGGATCTGTACAGGGGTTGAGAGCCGCTGGTTTATTTATTCTCTTTCTTTCAGGAAGCCTTCCCTAACTTCTCAGAGAGTCTCGTTAGGCACCCTCCCATGTGCCCACAGCAGCCTATGTTGCTCCCACTAGAGCAGCCACCATGTTCAGCTGTCATCGCCCGTTTACTGACCTGTCCCCCCTCTCTCACACATACACACACACACGCCTTCGTGGGCAGGGAGCTGTCCATAGCACCTAACATGGAAGGGTCTTAAGTGTCTGCTGGCTAAATGAGCATTCAGGGGTTCTGCTGTGGGCAGCAGCAGTGGCTCGAGGAGAGGAAGACAGTTATCCTGACGGCAACGTAGTGCTCACCTGTGACCGAGAGAAATGGGGGGCCTTGGCCCACCCACAAAGTCCTATTTAAAATGGTGCCATTTTAATCACAGATCCTAGGTAAAAAGCATGCCATGTCTTAGGTTGCTAGAATTATTAGTTTAAATTTAGAATGAAAGGTGTCTTTCTGTGCTGGGGAGGAGGCTTGTATCTACAAACAGGTTAGAAAGTAAGAAAATATTAAATACTAGAAAAAAAGAAATATAAAATGAAATCGTATTTTAAATTCAACATGCCTTTTAATTTAGTAGACACTCCAGGCCAGATCAGTATCATAAATGTCAAGGAAAATTTGACTGACACAACTCTCTCTTCTTCCAGTAACAGCTTGTTCACGAATAGACACTGCTCTTGGGGGGTGAAGGGGAAGGCCGGGGTCACTAACTAGGGTATCCTGGTGATCTGGTTCAACATCCCAGCAACGGAAACGGGAATTTTAACTAGTGTCAGCCGTGCTCCATCCTTTTTGCTGAAGACAACACGCGTGTTTGTGAGCTCTGTCCGGGAAGGTGTGTGGGAGTCTGTGCATGTTCACCCTCTTAACAAGTCAGGTCTTACACCCTGGACTAAGGTGGTGGGGTGCTGAACTGCTTCGAGCCATGCTTGTTTGAGCAAATGCATCATTTTAATATTCTGTGAACTGCGTTTATCATTTATCATACTGCCTTCCATCAGAGAGCTGATCCTTTCTTGAGGGCTGCCTAGGGTCTTCTGTTGGGAGGCTGGCTTGCTCCTCCCTTTATAGGCTGGGAGGGAGGGAGGTGACCTGAAGAGTCACCTCAAGTTCATTAAGAAAAGCACAAGCAAGACAGTAATGCCAATGCTGTGTCCCTGGAGTGAGAAGATGCACTCTGTACCCCGGCACTCTGCGAACAGTGTGACTCTGTGCGTGTCATAAAACCCCACCACCGACAGACCTCTCATCTCTCATCCCTGCACCCCTGAAACAACCTGCTAAGTGCCCTTACTCTTTGATATCTTAAAATTTTAAAAACCTCCCATCGAGCAGTTATTCTTCCTTTCGAATATAGCTGGTTAACTAGAAATCAGAGAAAATGTCTCAATGTGCTTCATGTTAGAAAATGAAAACCAGACAAGTCTGGGGAAGCTAATTTAAACAGCGCCCTTCTCCCTCCTCTAACGTGAGAACCAGTTCACAATTCCTTACGCCGAACCCTTGGGGCCAGATGTGGCTCTGAGTTCAGAATTTCTCGGACTTTAGAAAAAGCAGAATGATGCATATACTGTAATATCAAGGTGATGCCCTCATTATAAATCCATTAATATTTCTGTACCGAATATATAAAAGATCCACACAACGAGAGATTTAAAGACAATTACAAACATCGTTTCAGGTCGGGTCTTGTGGCCCATTAAGTCTGGGTTTTGGAATTGAAAATCCAGGAGGGTGGATCTATAGGACAGTGTCTCCCGAAAGTGGGTCCCCCAGCACGACAACATCGACATCACCTGGGAACGCAGAGACCCAAAGCTCTCAGGCCTCCCGGGGACCCGCAGAAGCAGAAGTCCCAGGGGTGCGGCTCAGGATGTTCTCACAGTCCCCCTGCTGACATGAATGCACGTAAAAGGTAAAAGCTTAAGAACCACCGCCTTAGAAGAAAGGATTGCCAACAGGTGCCTTACCTGTCCCTGCTCCTGCGGGAAGGGAAGGTGGCTTTACAGCCCTCCACTGTGCACACGTGCGTCTGTTTGGCGTGGATGTTCTTATGGTGCATTTTCACACCGCAAGCATTCTTAAAGGTCTTCTTGCAGATGTCACACTGGTGGCGGCTTTCTTCCTTCTGCCTAGCCGGTGCGAGCTGACCCGTGTGCTCCAGTTCCTGAGAATCTTCAAAACAAGGAAAAGCCATTCCTCTGTTGGACAAGGCGCTGAAGAGCCCCCCGGCCAGCAGGTGCTGCTGCAGTCTGACATAGTCAGGAAGAGGAACACAGGGCTCCACCCCAGGCGTGAGGTGGCGCTCCTGGCCACCGTCCTCGGCCTCCCTTGGCACCGTGGCCAATGCGGGTTTCTGCTCAGTCTCCCTCTCCGAGCTGTGTGTGGCCTGCTCAGGGGTTCGGCTGATGGCTCCACTGGGCTCAATCACCGACTGGAGGTGGTGGCAGGCTCTCTCTCCCTCAGGGACAGGCTTCCCCGGGCGTGCTGGCTGCGTGTGCCGCTCCTCCGGAGCCCTGTCTGCCCGGGAGTCCTCCGGCTCATCTTCACTGACCACCTGCAGGGCCATGTCATCATCGGAGCTGAGGGTGTGCCTGCTCCCATTAGCTATTTCCACAGCTTCCTTCTCTATTTTGATAGGCATACTGGACTTCCGGGACTTCTTCTTGGGAAGGGCATCGAAAGGCATTTCATGTGAAACCAGATGTTCAGGGATCGAGGAGGACAGCTGCGGGAGGGAAGGCAGCACCCCAGGAGTGTTTGCTAGCTCAGCGGGAGTGGCCGGACTGCGGTAGAAGGGAAGGACCGGCTGGACTGTCTTTAGGTTGGGGAAAAGCACTCCATTCTGCCCAACGCCGGGGAAAGCTGCTTGGCCCCTGGAATCCTCCCCCGGAACGGCATAGTCAGGGAGAGGCCTACAGTCCGGAGAGCTCACCGTGAACCTCGGGCGCCTGTAGCTGTCGGAGGTGGCCAGGCTCAGGCTGTTCCGCAGGTCTTTGTCCCGGTTGTTTCTGTTCATGGGCATGTGCAGCCGGGGGTTGGGGTTGGCGCTGTGGCGGTTCCGGCTCCTCAGCGAGCTAAATACCATGTTACAGCCTTCGATGGTGCACTTGTGCTTGATCTTCAGGTGGACGGCGTTGTAGTGGATCTTGAGGGTGCCTTTGTCGTAGAAGGTCTTCTCGCAGGCCGTGCAGAACACCCGGCCCTTCTTTGCGCCCAGGCTGTTCCTCTCAGACTTCACTTTGGCCTCAGGGGACAACTGCGTCCTTTCAAGCCGAGTGACAATGCTGTATGAGCCGGAGTCGCTTAAATGGGCATTGTCTTCCTTGTTAGCAGCAGCGTCTGGACAGTTTAGACACCGCTCTTTTTCAACCTGAAATGGTGCAGAATTGGAAGTTAAGAAGCTGCCGTCGGGGAAGGGTCCGTGGATTTCCTGTTTGGGGTCCTGACTCTGGTCCTGCCCCTGCTCCAGCACATACTGTTCGGGCAGAGACCCTATCAGTGCAGGAGGCACAGGGTTGAAGAACTGGAAAGGCAACATGAAGGTCATGTTGTTTATGAGGTTCTCGAAGGGGTGCACGCTGCTGGGGTTTCCTCTGTCCACAGCAGTGGGCTGGCTGGCATTAAAAAGCTCGATGAAAGCCCTGATGTCCACGTTGGCTGCGGGCGGCGGGATGATGAGGGACTGCTCTTCTTTCTCTTGAATTGCCATGAGCTCCACTATGGACTTGGTCTCCCCAAAACGAAGGAACTGCTGCAAGGTGGCCACCTCTTCCTCACTGGTCATGATGCTCCAGTGGTCCAGCACCTTTCCTGATGCATCCTAACCGGAATTGAGAAGTGCAATTAATTTACCACTCCTTACCCCTTTCTCTAAGAAAAGAGCCGTGTGGTCAGGACCTCCGCCAGCACACAGGGCACCTCTGGGCATATTAGGAAATGGCACCGCTCTGGATGAGCACGAAGGTTAATGAGTTCAGCCCCCACTCATGCTGATCTCCCAGGCCGGAAACTTTGTGCAGAAAATAGACTGCGCCAATGTAAGTAGAGGCCCAAAAGAGAGACGTAAAATTATATTACTCAAGCCTAAGGGAAATTTGGTGATTATTTTCCATCTTATTTCAAACCTATTGGCCGTCTCGCATTAAGCATAATCATCTTCCCCACAAAAATTAAAATATGTCTTTTGAACCATAGTAACTTCTTTATCTAAGGAGTATAGATGGAGCAATCAGGCTTAGATATAGCTCAAGTGTTTATTCACTGCATTTTAATAATCTTCCCAAGCAACTACCATCAGAAGACAAATGAACTTGTATTGATCTATTGCCCGTGTTCACAAAGCAGAGCTGTAATTACACCGGAGTGTTGGAGATCTTTCAAACTCTAGCAAGGCCTAACTTTTCCCAAAACTATGATAAATATTTTATCACAGAACATGTATTTGATGGCCTACTGAGATTTTTCACAGTGCATGTAAGAGTTCTGAAGATGACGAGGAACGTAACATCATAAATTTTTCATGCACTAGAGGTTCAAGGTAATTGATTCCATATTTTTAATCCTAACACTAGAAAGCAAGATTATTAGGATCATTAAATATTGATCTATGTCATAATGTAAGATCATAATGGTACTCTACATAAAAGGTTGTTTCTGGCTTGCTAGGGTTCCTGCCCTGGAGGTGAGCAGATGTGTTTCCAGAGGAAGATGATGGGCTTTAGAGTCAGCAGTGTGTTCAAATTTGGGGTCTGCCACATATGAGTTGAGTGACTTCAGAAATATTTAGAAGCATTCTGAGCCTCCGGTTTTTCAACTGGAAAATGGGAATAAGCTACCTACCTAAATAAGATTTCTGGAAGAGTCTATGTCAATAAATGGTTATCAGTGTTCATTTTAATGATATGACAACCTGAGTAAGACTGAAATGTATGTTAGTCTTGGAAATTCATTCAGTCCTTCATTTCACTAATTTTAACCAAAGTTAGCTGACATTTTCTAGTGTAGTGGCAAGAAAAAATGCTATCGCTGTTTCATGTGTTGGAGAAATAAGAGAATTCATATCAGGAAATATGTTCTTAGCTTGTGATAATCCCTTAATGACCTCTGAATATGGAACACGAGGCCTACCCCCATATCTTGTTCCAGAAAGAGAGGTAAAACTACTCTGCAAAGTAAAGAGCCGAGAGAAAGCACGAAAGGCACAGTGAGATGCCTTTCATCTCTCCTTCAGGCAGATACAAAGAGAAAACGTGAGGAGGCCAAAAAAGAATTGGAGAGAGAGAATAAACAAGAGCACAAACACAGAAATACTACAAGACGAGGAGTCCTAGGAAGGAAAATCAGCAGTGGAGTGGAGGACGGCTTTAGAGAACAGAAATTACGATTGTTTGCTGAGTGGTTCCATAAGGTGAGTTCCCTCTCTCATCTCCAAATCCTCAGTGAGATCTGATACAAACAGCATCTGTGTCAACAGGTAGTTTGCAGATAATAAAAGAAATGGAGGCAGCACCCAAGATGGGGCAAATGGTTTACTGTGGAAAAGCTGGCAGAGGGAAACCCCAATCAGAGAATATGCAATGTGCCCACGTCCTGAAGGTAGACAGATATCTTGAGGAAAACAATGGCTTTCTCCCAGGACGTAAGGTAGGTCCTAACCCGTTAGAAAAAACATTAAAGGCAAGAATAATCACCAATGGCTGTAGCACTGGTAGGCAACTGGGTCACATCAGTTACTTGGACATGGGTGTGCAAAGGCATTCTAGGAGAAGGGTGGCAGTGGTCACTATACCTGCAGCACATATCCACGGATGTAATCCTGAAGGGTCCAGTCCAAGGCATGGAGGATCTGGAGGACCTCGTCTTGCTTCAACACACTGAAGAGTCGGTCTAGCAGGATTTTCAGGCGAACGGGGATGGCTTGGGTCCCGTAGAGCATGAGGCTGCTAATATCAAACACCACATTGGACTGGACGATCTCCACCTGGCTTGCTGGACACATGGGCGGGACCCTCAGCTTACTCAGAGCTGAAAAACCAAATGGAAGACATATCGTTTTTAAAGAGTTCTATTTTCAAGAGAAACTCGGCACAAGAAGTAGGCTAATACTATCTCTCAGTTATCTGTTCCGACAGAAAAAAACACAACTACGCGAATGTGTAATAATTTTAACAGCTATCACAGGAACTTCTAAAATAAAATGCACTGGCCTGAGACTCGAATCTTCTTTTCTCCCCTTCCTGAGGCATCCCTGAGGAATAAAATAGCTACAAGCAGGGAAGATGTAAAGAAAGGGGGTAAAAACAAAGATGATAGGTGTCTAATCAAGAAGATGGAAAATCAGGAGCCCCGGTCTGCCACTTCCTAGTTGTTGGGCTTGGCAACTGAATCCACCGAAATCTATGCCGTCCAATGCGACACTCATCAGCCACATATGGCTATTTAATTTTTGATTTCAATTCATTAACATTTAATAAAATTAGAAATTAGTCCTGCAGTCACACTAGTCACATTTCAATTACTCGGTAGCCACGAGTGGCTAGTATAGGGTCAGGTTTAGCAAATGAAAATACAGGATGCCCAGTTAAATCTGAATAGACATTTCAGATAATCGACACATAAGTAGGATATACTTACATATACACATATAAAAATCTTCACTGGGATATACTTAGGCTAAAAAATTATTTATTGTTTACCTGAAATCCAAATTTCACCGAGCATTCCTTATTTTATCTGGCCACAGGCTACTGCATTAGACAGCACAGAACAATTCTATCATTGCCAAATGACAGCGCCGAAGCACCAGTGTCTACACTTTAAACAAAGCTAATGAGACACCGATACGGAGTTAAGATTCAAAGAGCTAACATATATAAAGCTCCTATCTTGTCACCTGGCATGTGGTAGTAACTTACGAATGTTAGCGGTCATTCCTAGATATCACAGCCATTCCTAAATAACTGTGAGTCATTTAGAGGGAACACTACCAGCCAAGAGAGAGGGGAAAAATAAAATTACCGTGGGCCACCCAACCATGTCTGCACTGTTCACACTGACGGTGGTTTGTTTTCCCTGGTTTGAAACTTTGACAGCTGCAGTTCAGAGTACAGCCGATAGCCTGCAAAAGAGAACACAGGTATGCCCAGCACGTTAGTGATGTGTGGGACAGACATACACCACTTTTACAAAACAAAACCTCCACTGGGCAACATTCACTGAGCAATGTGTGCCCACTCTGTGCCAGGCCCACGTGTGTACAGTGGACCCCGGAAAGAAGACCGGCTGGCCCGCCACCTGGAGAAGGTAAACACACCGCACAGATTTCCCACATGCGAGAATGGGCTACGAACACCAGAGCTTTTTATAAGAAGAGACTATGGGTTGGAAGGAAATATCTTGCTTGTTATGAAGGACATAGCAAAGGTGAAGAGTCACATTTTCACCAAATCTCTAAACTGACCAGAGCAGTAATACTGGAAGATCTGCTGAAAGATATACAGAGGCTGCCTTGGGACAGGTAAACAGGAATTAAGAGTAATTTACATGTGGAATTTGTTACCCTCAAGACATGGTAGGGGCTGAGTATCAAAACAGATTTGAGATCATGTACTGGCTGACTACACCCAGGATGGTTCCCCAAGTCCACTCATTGGACTGTGTGACTGATGGGGACAGACACAGCCTGGACGAGCCCCGCATGGAGGCCCAGATGCCTGGTGAAGTGCCGTGCGTGGTGTGGGGGTGTGGGGTGTGCAAGCATACAGATGAAACAGAAAATGGAATTCTAGTATCAACAACGAAGCTTCACATATATTTTTAAGAGGAATTTCTCAAAAGGGGATAGAGGCCTGAAGAATGGAATCTATTATTAAAGAGAAAAAACCCTCACAAGAGCTATGACAGGTGGTTCCCAGGAAGAGCTGCTGGGTGGAATCCCTATGATTCAAGAAAGTCTTGAACCTGGGGAGTATGTGGGGGTTTGGGGTGGGGGATGAAAAAGCCCTACGATTATAGGTTTAAACCTCCATCTGCCAATTAAGGGACTATGTGGCCTTGTGTGGGGACAGAAAGGGGAGAATCTGGCCTAGGACCTGGGAAACTCACTTTAGGGAGTATATAAATAATCTTCACTTAAAAATCAGTTGCGGATGGGATTGTAAAATAATGCAGCCTGCTTGGAAAACAGTCTGTCAGATCTTCAGAAACAGAGTGACCAGCAATTTCACTTCCTAGGACTGTGCTCGAGAGCTGGAAATATTACGTCCACATAAAAACTTGTACCTGAATGTTCATAGCAGCACTACGTATAACAGCCCCAAAGGAGAAACCACCCCAATGTCCTTCAATTGAGGAATGGATGAACAAAATGTGGTACATCCATACAATGGGACACTACTAGGCAATAAGAACGAAGTACTGATACATGCTACAACATGGATGAACCTTGAAAACATCACGCTAAAGTTAGAAGTACAAAAATGGAAAGAAGTATGAAAAGCCAGAGGTTATATGAGTCTATTTACATGTTAAGACTAGGTTAATCCATAGAGGAAGAAAGCAGAACAGTGGTTACCCGGCTATGTAGGAATGACGACTGACTGCTAATTGGTGGCAGTAGGGACAGATTGGTATTCTTTGTTTACATCTTTTGCAAAAAAACAGCTTTAAATTGAGATGTAAGTCATAGGTAAAACTCATCCATTTAAATTATACAATTCAATGATTTTTGGTATACTCAGAGTTGTGCAACCATCATCACAATCTAATTTTTATCACTCTCAAAAGGAACCCTGTGTACAAGTTTACGGCAAACATCTTTTCATTGCTTTGGGGTATATTCCTAGGAGTGGAATTGCTGGATCATATAGTAACTCCACATTTCACTTTTTGAGAAACTGCTTAACTGTTGTCCATTTTACATGCCCACCAGCAATGTACAAGGGTTCCAATTTTCCCACATCCTCACCTACACCGGATGAATAGGCAGAATATAGATAATTTTTCCGGCAGTGAAAATACTCTGAATGATACCATAATGATGGAAACGTCATTATACATTTGTCTAAAACCATAGGATATACAACACCAAAAGTGAACTCTAAGGTATAATATGGAACTCCGGTGATGATAGTCAGTCTATGTAGGTTTATCATTGTTACAAATATACCCTCTGGTGAGGGATGAGGATACTGGGGGAAGCTACGCATGCCTAGAGGCATGGGGTATATGGGAAATCTCTGCGCTTCCCTAAAAATGTTTAAAAAAAAAATAAAGTCTTAAAAAAAAAATCAGTGACCTTGCTAAAATACAGGTTAAAATTTACGATAATATGACTATTATCTACAATTTTGGATTACAATGTGAACAGAGCAACTAGACAGATCTTCAGGTGGAGGAACAGGGCTGTTCACAACTGAGGCCTGCAGCAGATAGCAACAGTGTTACGTAATCCCTTCAGGAGGCTATCAGAAAACAGAAAACAAGGGAGAAAAGGTTTCTGGCCTTTGTAAAGTCATAATACTTATATAATACAAAGAACGCCAGATGATCACAACACTCACTCTAATAACGCATGCATTCCCATTAAGGGTGATATCATCGCAAAGGGTGATATTTGTTCTTGGGGAGAGTGTGTGAAAAAATATTATTTTTATGTATAAAGCACAGATATACATATATAAACATATATAGAATATGGTATGATCAAATTTCATTGGGGAAGGCGCCATTAGAAAAAAATGTCTAAAGACTCCTTGGATGTGGGGCTGGGCGGAGGAATGAAAAACAGATTGAGAAACATTGCCCTAATGTCAGAAATTCTTTTACTTTTTCGTTATACAGTTTCTATTTGTATATACATATATGAATGTGTTCAATACATGAACACAGACATCTATATACCTTTAAACAGAATTATATAGTTATCTTGACTGGAAATTAAAGGATAAAAAGGAGTAATAATTTAATTTTTATCACGTTGTCAAAACGAAAAATTCAAAGGGCACCGCTATTAGTTTGTGGCACACCTGCTATGTTGTCTGGCTTCTCGACCCCTTGCAACTCTCTGGACACCAGCTCACAAAGGAGCCAATCATCTGTGTTCTCAATAGCTGCCAGCACATTCACTGCTTAGCCTCTCAAATAGTTCACAACCTACATCCTAGGACCGTTTTGGAGAAAATGTTAAAAAGGAGAAAAGTTCTTATTTTTGGATGATGTCCCTGGAAATGCCACTCACTCTTTAAAAACAGGATGTTGAAACAAAGTGAATTCCCGTTTCATTTGAGAGGAACACAGGACCTGCTTTAATTACAGAAAGGGATGTTCTCAAGCACACACCGCCCCCACTCCCCAAGGGTTCTACGCAAAAGGTTCTTACTCTTGCAAAGCCCCAGGACACTCCAGGGGACTCTACCTGAGGCCTGGCACAGCAAAACAACACGGGGAACAATTCCAAGCACATTTCATAGCCCAAGGTTGAAACTCATTTTTTCTGCAGCTGTTGACCTGGGACTCAGGGTTTCTCCACTTTAACATTACAGACAGCTCTTTGTGGTGGAGGGCTGTCCTGTGTATTGCAGGACATCTAGTAGCCTCCACGGCTTCTACTCTCCTGATGCCACAGTAACACTTCCCTCCCCTAGATGTGAAAACCAAAAATGTCTCCAGACATTGCCAAATGCCTCTGGGGGCAAAACCGGCCCCAGCTGAGACCCACTGACCTAACCTGATTATTCGGTTTTAGTAGCCTCTAGTTTGGGGACAGAATTTTAAGCAGTTTTATCCACAATTCCAATGCATGAATGCTGCTTTATAAAAAACATTCATGTGGTTCTATATGAACCCATTTGAATAAGGCTTAATAAAGCTCATTAGATATCTATGGAAATAAATCTCAGAGGAATTATTTATGAACTACAAAAAGCCAATTACGGTGTCTAAGAAAACTTCTAATTTTAAGCCCTTGAGTTTTTCCACCCATCTTAGAACTCCACAATGTAGTAAAATTATAGCACCATTATCTAAAGACAAATGAAAACTTCTAAAACGAAATCAAACCAAATAATTCTAATTACAGGATGAAAAGTACTCATGTAAACCAAAATGGAAAACTCTTAAAACTTATATTCTTTCCTTTGGAATCCTGATAGATGTTCCATTTTTCAGAAACATAAAGCAGATGTTTACAACATTCTGAACTCATCAAGACATGATTATTGCTTTTTGTGCACTCATTTTAATCAGACTATTTCCGAATTGTTATTAGTCACGTTGATGTGCTACAAATCAACATTCAAAATTCTGGTTTGCTCTTTTGTTAACCATCATTTGCTCATTCACTCACCCAGAAATTACTGACACACCTCGTATGTGATAGATAGTTCAGTTATTTGTAGTCTTGGAAAGCTATGACTTAGCTTTTAGGTGGGTTTGAGGGTCCCACTTCCTCCCCCAGACAGCCCTGGCTCTACCTTTAGCTTAGGGAGACACTGCCACAGGCCTCTTGTTAGGAGCTGCTGACCTGAATTCCTAGCTGTGGCCAGGCCAGACACACAGTGGGGTCGATATGCAGACATCCATTGCTGGACAATGCAGGCTTTGATAAGATTGGAATTACTGAGCTTGAGAATGAAAATTCTCTACTTCCAAACTGTTTCCATCCCTAGTACATGCAATATTTTCATATCACTGAAGATAAATTCATGGGGAAAATTCTTGGGGGACAAGAAGGAAAAGGGGGAGGAGAAAAATTATAGAGGAGCTTTGGGGTCTCCAGATTCATGGTATTGACCCTCTGAGGGAAGTCATTTGTGATCTGGCGCAGGAGCAAAACTGAACTATGTACTAGTCAGGCAACTTTGCAGGTTCAAGTTATTCAGTCTGCCCTGTCCAAGACAGTAGCCATCAGCCAGATGTGGCTATTTAAATTATAATTAATTAGTTATCAGATACAATTTTAAATTCAGTTCTTTGGTCATGCTAACCACATTTCAAGTGCTCAGCAGTCACAAGTGGCCAGTGGCTACTGTACTGAACGGCGGTGATGGGAACATTTCCATCATGATAGAAAGTTCTACTGGACAATTCTGAGACCCGTGGTGAGGCTAGCTGCTCTTCCGGCCTGTCCTTCCTTCCACACGGTGGCATTCGTATTTAATAGGCGATCTCGTGTGATCTTCACTACATCCCTGTGAGAAGGGAATTCTTCTCAGGAAATCTTAAATGCATCAAAGAGTTGTAATTTGTCCAAGTTCACATAGTTGGTGAGCTTTCTTGAGCATTTATTATTTGGGAAGCAATGCAATAAGCAGCGCCCACGTATTACCTCATTTCTCACGCCCACCTGGGAGGCAGGTTTTATTACTCTGCCCATTTACAGATGAGGAAACTGAGGAACTTACAGACTAACTACCAGGTAGTCTCAAGTATGGATGGTAGAGATAGATTATATCTTGAAATATCAGTATTTGGTGCCGACCACACTTAATATTTGTGGGTTCATTTCATCCCTACAGCAACTTTGAGAGTTAGGCATTATCATCCACATTCTGCAGATAAGAACATTAAAGTTCTACATGGTAAAGAAACTTCATTCACTGAATAAGTATTTACTGAATATTTATGAGCCAGACATTCTAAACTCTGGGGGTTAAAGTGTCGAACAAGACTGAAGAGGTCCCTGCCCTCCAGGAGCTTGTGTTCTAGAGGGGAAAGAAAATAAACAAGTAAATAAACGATACCTTTGCAGAATAAGGCAAGTGCTATGACAGAACTAAGCAGAAAGCTTTGCTAGCAATTTTACTGGCATGGAGGGGTAGGGGTAAGTGCCTTTTCCACAGGGTCATCATCAAAGGCTTTTGAGGAGGTGACATTTGAACTGAGTCCCAAGAGATGGCAAGGAGCCAGTGAAGAACTGGAGGCAGAGGGAGTGTTTTAGGAAGGGGCCACAGCAAGTGCAAAGCCCTCAAGGCACAAAAGAGGCTGGAGTGTTCAGGGCACAGGAAAGGGGCCAGGAGAGCTGGATTGGAGTCAGTAAGATGAACGGCAGACAATGGGGGTTGGAGAAATGACAGAGACCACTCTGCATAGAATCTTGTGAGGCAGTCCAAGGAGTACGGAATTTGTTCTAAGTCTAACAATGAGCTTTTGCAAAAGGTATGAAATTAATATGATATGCCTATTAAAATGACACCTCTGGATGAGGAGCTGGGGAGCCTGAGCTCCTTCCCTTAAGCACACTGAGCATCTTTCCCTGCGAGGTAGTAAAATCTACCATCGGCCTCAGGCAACTTATGTCTTACTTCCCATTCAGCCATATAACCTTCAGCTCCAGAACTTGGAGCCTCTGACTATAAAATGGGCTGGATATCTGCTCCTGCATACTTCAGAGGCCTATTGGCCATATTAATGAGAACATACAGATGGAGAGTTGAAAAGACCAATTAGCACAGTGAGACTGTTGTTACTGCCAGGCCAACAAGAAGTAGATTCTTGGGTCCTGGGTTCTTGGGCTCTGGTGGTCCGACTGCATGGACAGAGCTAACAATGCCTATGATAGAAACCTCCGTAAAAGTTGCTCCACAATGAATCATTCCTGAAAGAGACAACAGAACTGAAACTCCAAACCAGCAGCTAACAGCTGGCCCAAGGCCTGACACTCGGTAAGCCTTTGACTGGTATTGGAGAGAAGAATGAATGAATCAATGAGCGAGCTGCACCAAGCTTACTAATTATAGATCCCCACCCAATATCTTTTAGCCTATGTAAAAGAACCTTGGTAAAAGAACCTTCATTTTCATGTCTCCTTTGGTAGCCGGGTGATGGTAGACAAGCAGACCTTGTTTGTCGGGTGGAGCTTTACAGAAGGCTCTTTAAAAACGGGAGGTTACTCAGCTGATGTACTTCTCTGCCTTGTCTCCTTCCTCTTTTCTTGGAACAAGAACATGATGGCCACTCTACAGCACAAAATGACCCCGTTTTTTTTTCAACATAAATTGCAAGGAGAAAAGTAAAGTATAAACCTGTGGCTTAAGAAAGATAAAATATAGCCCGTACTTGGATCCTAATTTGAACAAACCAATGGTAATACAAACTTGAGAAGGCAATCAAGGAAATTTGAATACTAGAAATGTAATGACATTAAAGAGTTATTGTTAATTTTTTAGGTGCTATACGGTATATTGTTTTGCCTTATAGGAAATTCTTT